ATTTTGGTGTATATGAGACATACATGTCTTTTTACCACTGACCTCGGAAGGCACAACATTTTAGTTGCTAACGCTCCAACTCTTTTGCCTTACAGAGGAGGAGACTGGTCCCCAGAGACATCACATGACTTGCCCAGGTCTTTTGACTCCTGGCTTAATTCTCTGTCTACTGGACCTCACTGCCTTCTTAGGGTTCAGACTTGAGACTCGATGCTTCATACCAATGGTCTCCAAGGTGGGGGCAGGGGCCACCTGCAATGCTATAATCTGACTCCATTGGGATATTATGGCCTGACCTCGAAAGGCATATGATTAAGTAATTGGAAGGTGGAAAGATGGGTCACATCCCATACTCTCTAGACTAGACAGTAGTGGGGCTTACTTCCAACACCATGCTCATCTGCACATTCTATTGTGCAAATACTGACTTCTCTCCTTATGAGTCAGGCGTTGAGCCTTCAGGGCATTCTACTGCTACCCTTCAGGTGCCATTGTGAAAAATTCCATCCCGGGTCACTCAGTGGCTGCTGCAGATGCCCCTGTTGGGCAGATAATGGCCTGTGAGGAACACCTCTCCTTTTTCCTTCGGGATGGGACAATCGCTCACAGATGAATTGTGACGAGTCCCAGATCTTATGATGTGATCTAATCTGCCAAACCCACCCCTCTCCCCTCCAGGACTACTGCAATGGTGTCCTGCCTGGCCTCTGTCTACTCCAATCCAGCCTCACTTCAGATGCCCCAGTGATTTTCCTAAAGCTCAAATCTGACTGTGTCATCTTCCCATTCAATAAGCCCCAGTGGCTTCTTATTAACTCTAGGGCCAGATACTATTGAATCTTTTGTTTGTTTGTTTTTTTTTTTGTTTTTGCTTTTTGGTGAGGCAGTCAGGGTTAAGTGACTTGCCCAGGGTCACACAGCTAGTAAGTGTTATGTGTCTGAGGCTGGATTTGAACTCAAGTCCTCCTGACTCCAAGGCCAGAGCTCTATCCACTGTGCCACCTAGCTGCCCCCAATCTTTATCTTATCCTCTTGAATTTTCTCTCTTTTGCTTGAGTTTTATAATGTACTTATTAGTATAGTAGTTAAAAAAGTAAATATTCACATATTGGAGGTGCGTGCTTTTTTTTTTTTTCACTACTAATAAAAGAAACACTGCTTTAGGCAACAGAGAATTTTTTGAGCCAAGGGAGTGACATGATTAAAGGGATCAAGGGAGATTCAGCTGAGGAAGATGTTCAGGTTACAAGACAGATTTCATTTTATTTTTTTATTATTACCTTTATCTTAGGACTGCTGTGGGTTATTTACAGATATAAAGCCTTGTTTATGCAGACTCCACTTGGAACATATTGTAGGCGTAAGGCAAACAGATAGATTCCTCTGGGTAAAAAGTTTATTCAGAATTCGATGACACCTTCCTTTCTTCCGGTCATGTTTCTAGGAGACAATACAAAATATGCCAAATCACTCCAAGGGAGAATCCTGCCAAGAGCGTCTGTCCCTGCTAAGTGAGCCATAATTGTTTTGAGGACTGTTAGCCCATCCCCATGGCCCAGAATGAAGAACTGCAGACAATATATGGCAAGACATCCATTCACCAGTGCCAGAGCTAGCTCCCAAGGACCATTCGATTAATTTTTAATCCAAGAGGTCTGGCTAAAGCTTCAGGAGGCAAATGTTGCCTTCAAATGTGCTGGCATCAAACATGATCATCTTGGTGGTCCCAGCCTGAATGATAAAACATTTATGTTGATAAATCAGAACAAATGGTTCCTTCAGTTTGTCTGTTTTTCAAACAAAGTAGGCTCTGCCTGTAAAGCCACTCTGCCACAGGGACAGGAGGTGGGCACATGAGCTCATTGGTATGGGGGTGGGAGATAGAGGAAGAAAAAAACCATTTATTTAGCACCTGCTGTGTGCCAGGCACTGAGCTAAACGTTTTACAAATATAATCTCATTTGATCCTTACAGCAACCCTGGGAGGTGGGTGGTGGTGTTATACTCATTTTACAGTTGAGGAAACTGAGGCAAAGAGAGGTGACTTGCGGGGTCACACAGCCAGCACATGTATGTCCGTGGCAGGACCTGACAGTGGAATCTTCCTGGCTCTGAGGCTAGCTCTCTAACCCTCAGGCCGTACTTGCCTCTCACGAATCATTTACAATAATTCTTTTATAACTAGACTTTCTGCTTTGTATAAATCCATAGAGGACAGGAGTAACAGCACAGAAGAAATACAAATTACTAGAATTAGGTCCAGATTAACTACATTGTAGCAAAAACCTTAAAAAGCCAGATCAAGGTGCTGAGGGCAGATGGCAGAAATAGCAACATCAGTTAGTGACGTGTGTGGTCAGGATAAGAATAAGGAAGGCATAAAGAAAAAGTATTTATTAAGCTCCTACTCTGTGCCGGGCACTGTGCTAAACGCTTTACAATCATCTCATTTTGGGGAGAGAATGACTGACCCTAAATACAGAATCAGGGAAGTGTGAGGCATTTCCAACACGGTGCGGCCCCCTCGAGTCCTCTGTTTGGACATTACGAAACCTGAAGATCATCAGGCGTGAATACTTTCCTGCCTCGGCACGGCGGGCTGATGGTGGGTTTGGGAAGCTAGAACAGTTTAGTGCAGATGATGGCAGGTTCTTCCATGCTGGAAAGTCTTTTGAATCTGGACTTGGGGACAACGAGGTCTGCTTGTGACGGATCAACCTAAACACTGGCTAGTCAGTAGGCTGGCCCCTACCTGAGGGATTCTTTGGCCAGGCCAAACTTGAGCCATTGTGAAAACCATTACACAGTAGTGTTTACAGAAATTAAAAAAATTTTCACTTACGTTTATTTTCTCTCTCTCCCACATTCCTTTCACACATGCACCTCTTCCTTCCAATTGGGGGGAAATCCCCCTTGTAACAAACGTACAAAGTAAAGCAAAACAAATTCCCACATTGGCTATTTAAAAAGGAATCTACTCTCTGAGTAAATGACCTCAGAAGGCGGGTAGTATGTTTCATCATGAGAACTGGAATTGTGCTTGGTAAATTGTATTGATTTGTGTTCCCAAATCTTTCAAAGTTACGTGTCTTTACAATGTCATTGTATAAATTGTTCCTCTGGTTCTGCTCATCTCACTTTGCATCAGTTCGTATAAATCTACCTAGGTTTCTCTGAAACTGTTCCCTTCATCACTTTTTTTTTTTTGGCTAGGCAATGGGGTTAAGTGACTTGCCCAGGGTCACACAGCTAGTTAAGTGTTATGTGTCTGAGGCCAGATTTGAACTCAGGTCCTCCTGAATCCAGGGCTGGTGCTCTATCCACTGCCCACCTAGCTGCCCTTCTTCATCATTTCTTATGGCACAATAATGTTCCATCACATTTTCTAAAACTTGCTCAGCTTTCCCCAACTGATGGATTCCTTTTCTGTTTCTATTTCTTTGCCACTGCAAAAAGAGCTGCTGGAAATATTTTTGTCCTTTTGGCTTTTTCTTTCTCTCTTTGGAGTATGAACCCATTGGTGGTATAGCTGGGTGAGGGGGTATGCATGGTTTAATAGCTTCTTCCAGAATAGCTAGAACAGTTCACATCTCCATCTAGAGGGACTGCATCAATATTCCTGTTTCCCCACAGCCTCTCCAGCATGTCATTTCTCTCTCTCTTTTTTCTTTCCTTCTTTCCTTCCTTCCTTGTCAGACTTGCCAATCTGAGCAGTATGAGGTAGAATCTTAGAAATATTTTAATTTACATTTATCTACTTATTATTTAGAACATTTTTTCAATGGGGATAGATAGCTTGGATTTCTTTCTCTGAAAAATGCTTATCAATTGGAGAATGGTTCTTATTCTCACAAATGTGAATCAATTCCCTGTATATCTTAGAAATGAGACCTTTATCAGAGTAATTTGCTGCCAAGATCTTCCCTATTTACCTGATTTCCTTCTAATTGTAGCTGCACTGGTTTTACTTGTGGACTTTTAAATTTTATCTACCCCTCACTACTTATAAAATAGCAGTATTCAATTAATACTCACAGACCATAGTTCGTTCAGCTATTCTCCAATGGATAGATACTCTAAATACATTAATTTATAACATAACTATTACCATGTTAACAAGCCAAGCTCTGAACTTAGATTCAGGGAATATTATTTTTTGTCTACTCACCTTCCTTTGCTTTTTGCAGTAGAACATACAAGGCCATGGATTTAGTTTTTATCTTTGTACCTGAGCACAGTGCAAACACAGAGTAAATTACTTACGCATAGCAAACACTTCATAAATGCTTGGTGACTTGAACTGAACTGAATTGAATTCCTAAATGAGGAGTAGGTAAAGAACAAGGCAGGACCAGATAATGTACTTTCTGGGATTCGTGAGGTACGTACACGAGTCTTTCTGCACCTATAAACATGATGCTCATGGAAAAGGGCTGGAGACCTGGAGTCTGGAGACCTAGGTTTGGGTCAGGTTGCAGAAATTCACCACTTAATGGAAATCCTTGAACCTCTCTCTGTTAAAAAAAAATTGCTGCCTTCACCTTCAAGTCTCAGTTTCTTCATCTGTAAAATGGAGATAACCACATGGGCAATATCTTCTTCAAAGGTTCCCTAGCTAGTGCTAGTATCATCATCCCCATTTTGTAGATGAGGAAAATGAGGCCCAGAAAGTCAACGCGACGTGCCCAGGGACACCCAGGCAGTAACCCCAGGTCCCACATTCTCCCCGCCATGCCATGATGACTCACTGATGCCTTGTCTTAGTCATACCTTTGCTGTCTTCATGTGTGTTCATCCTTCCTCTGTGAGAAATGGCGGGCCGGGGTCAAGCTTTCTTGTCTCCCCAGCCACCCCAGTAACTAGCCTAGTGCTGATTCAATACCGAGTGGGTGGGAAAATAACTTATCGGCAAGGCATTTGTCAAATAAAAGAAACATCTTTTCTTTTCAATGAATAGAAAACAGTCTGTTAATAACAAAATAGTAAGGAACATATTTATATGGTTAACACAGATTATATTTATTATATAACAATTATCAGTTCTTAGAGGCGAAATCCAGTTCAAAACATACTACTGGAAATTACATTTTAATTAATCTTACAAAGGGGAATAATCTAATTTTTTTTCATTTAAAAATTAGTGATAAGACGGCAGTTGTTGAGTTATCTGCAGGTTTGGTCAAATGTTCCGAGGCAGCAGACATTCACTCTAAAAGACAGAAGGTTTTTTTGTAGCAGATTTGTGCAGAGGTAAAAAGGACAGTGTTGGCATCTACAAACACTAACCGTACAAATCAACAGTTTCTTTGAATCCAGAATTACTTTCCAATTTTTGTTTGAATTGTTCAGATTCTGATTTCTGAATGTAGGTTTCAGATGAACTTAAATTTGACCTAATCTCTTCCAAAGTCCTCAGTCTAACAACACATGTTGGAAATAGGCATTTTCAGTGATGCCCCAGCAATACCCAGGGAATCTGAGCCAGACCATTACCTGCCCTCCCTGTCAGGGAGTGTCTGTGGATGGCGATCAGCCATGGAGAATAGGCCTGGCTCTCAATATTCTCGGGAGACCCTGGGGAGGGAGGAGCCACACAATACATGAAGATGCCATCCTAAAAACACTCAGCTCTAGGAAGAGCAGTCACTGGTGATGCTGCAGGCTACTCAGGAGGGGGACATGGCATCGGTGACCTGGGGACAAACCCATGGTGTGAGAGCAGCAGGAACCCAGAGGTGGCTGCCCACATCAGGCGAGTGTCTGGCACCTGGAGAGAGACAGGAAACCTGGGCTGGGAAGGCCTGGCAGGGACCCTCGACCTTGGCCTGGGCTGAGGATCTGGGCCTCCAGTCACCTCTAGGGCTGTGCCCAGAGTCCTCCTGGAACAATTTCCCACGTAGGAAACAGGCCCTCGACTCACATGCAGCCAGAAATGGGATTCTAAATCACAGAATGCTACAAATTGACAGGAAACCCTTAATTACGTGAGCAATAATCTAAAAACTAAATTCTCCAGCATCAAGAGTGGATAATACTGTGACAAATATACTGGCCCCAAATAGCTTATGAAAAAAGTCAAAGGGACATCATATATAATAGCTACATCATTTTTCATAATTCTAACCTTTTTCTGAATCAAAATGGACAAATTATTTTTGCTTCCTAAAAATCTCCCTCTTTGGATAATACCAGCTGTCCACCATTAGTGACAAAACATGTAGGTATGGGGTTTAACAAGAAAGGCGAGAAATGTGCCTTCAATAAACATCGATTAAGCGCCTACTACATCTGGGGCAGCGTGCCAGGTGCTTGTAGGAACAAGAACTCGTTTCTGCGTTCCTCATTATGCATCTGTTCCTTTCTTGAGACTTTTCACCTTTGCTGAATGTCCCACCCCAGCAGCCGTGCATATAAAAATAGATCATTTTTCTTCTGTAGAACTCTCGCTTCGTTTAAAAGCGGCTTTCGCCCACTACTAAAAATATATATGGCCTCTTTCGTTCCAATACCTCTAAGTTAGACCTGTCTATAACTCTGGACGCCACAGAAGGTGAGGGATGAGAACCGGAAACACACAAGCAGCTTTCCTGCGGGTGCCACAAGTCCTACTTCCGAAGCAGCAATGAGGCGTCCCCCTCTGGCAAAAGGCATGACGACGCTGACGTATCAACATGTAGATTTAAACAAGTTAAGTCTAAAAGTCATCTCGGGGTGACCTCGCCTCCCAAGGCAGTGCCTCAGCTCTTCCAATTCCAGGGAATACAAAGGTCGCCATCTTGCAGGACAGAATAAAAATGCGAAACACAGACGTGCATCCCTTCCAGACACGGCAGGGACTGCTCAAGGAGTCGCTCACAGCAGTCGATCATTTGGGCACTTGAAACGCTGGGCTCCTTGTACAGCTTCTTCAGAGAAAACTTCTTAATAGACGAATGGATCAATTCATTTTCAATTACCTTTAACCTGAGATATTAATGAGAAAGTCATCAGGAGTCATGAACGTAATGAAACGCAACCGAAAATGTGTGAGAGTGAAGTGGGAAGGATCACAGGAGCTTCTGTCTGGGGCTGGGAGACGACGACAAGGGCATGTGACTTACTGAAGGTCACACGGTCTAAGTCACCAAGTCTGAAATCGAACCCAGGCCCCGCCATGTAACATCTACACAGAACACGGTAAGGAAACCCCATAGGCCCTAGGATCAGTAATTTACCCACTGACTTGAGAGTGGGGCTGTACCCCATTTGTGTGACTCCATTCAAGTAAACACTGATTAAGCACCTGCTACATACACGGTGCTCCGCTTGGCACTGGAAGGCAGAGGTGAACTCCGAAGGGGCTCTGGGCTGAAGGGTCTGGAAGGACCCTCTACAATATCCCTGAGCAAGTGGAGGGCGTCCAGCCTTCGGGAAGGCCCTTGCCTCATGGGGCTCTTTGGAACACCCTTCCTCCTGCTCCCCATTCTGCCTCAGCCTCCTCAGCTCGGAATGGGCATAAAAACCACCGCGGCCTCTTCTCACGGGGCTGAGGGAGGCACAAAGAAGGCACTGTCAGCCTCCAAGGGCCAAAGGGCCAGTCCTAACTCCTTTGAGGCCCGAAGCACCTCTAATCTCGAGAAGGAGCAGAGGCGGAGGGGATCACCGGCCAGACTGTGCCCAGGTCCTGGCCCCTCTGTGGAGCCTGGGGCCCTCCCACCGCCGATGACCTCGGAGGTCCTTTCTAGGTTTCAATCCCTGCATGCAGGCCTTGGGGTCGACCAGGTAAGTCGCAAATGTTAAAAAGAGGCGGACGATGCCCTTTCACAGGAGAAGACAAATACTTACTCATCCTTTCTTTTCATGTTTTCTCTGGCTTGGGCTGCTTTGGTGAAAATAAACCATGGGAGGGACACAGGGTCACACAGTGTTGGGATGCTGAAGTAACCAAGTTCATGCAGGCTGGGAGAGTACCTGTCGCTGGAGGGAAAGGGAAATGAAACACAGCACCACCTTTTTCCTCAGACCTTCTCATTGCTACCTGAGGAGGAACAAGCCAGAGAAAGCTCCATTTCAGACTTCCAAGCCTCCCCCCCCCCAGCCCTGTCCACCCGGCCAGGTCATCAGAACAGTAGGACACCGGCATCTGCGCAGGATGGTGCCCTGGCCAGTGACGCAATCCTGTGGCCTCTCACTGCTGGCCAGGGCGGCCGCGCTAGCATTCACGACTTGGCTCCCTCTTCCTAACTAAGAGCATGTGACCATGATGTAGAAACCTAGCACCTCCAACGGGCCCAGCAGAGAGACCCCAGGCTCACCTGTCCAGGACCATCTGCAGGCCCCGGAGACTGCGAGGGTGGAAGGGGAGCCTGCTCTTCAGAAGCCGGTTATAGAAGCTGTCGAGGAGAGAGTAGTATTCCTCGAGGGTCAGTGCCGGCTGCAGCTCCTCCACATAGACCACCTGGATGCCGCCCAGCAGGTAGCTGATCCGGTCCTCTAAAAGCACCAGCTTCCTCTGGAGGGCGAAGTAACTGGGCAACCTTTCAAAGAGCTGTGGCCCAAAGAGGGAGAAGTGAGCTGACCCTGATCAGTACAGCTATGAGCTTTGGTTAAATGCAACCAAGACACAGAAAAACAACAAAACGGAATTATGCGTGTAAAAGGACGGCCCAGAATGCAGGCAGCCTGTCCAAGAAATGAGTAATCATGGGGATCTTGGGATTAGAGCAAGTGTGCCAGAGAGAAGAGGGCAACGCTCCCCAAACACAGGACTGAGCTTCTGGGGAATCCAGCCTTGGGAACCAGGACACAGTGAAATGCTCACAAGAGGGGCTTAATTTAGCTTTGGACGGCTGAAAATGGGGACAAGGGCCCTGGAAAGAGAATCTGGATTCGAGTTCTCATCTTTTTGACTTGATCTACTGTAACACAGTGATGTGGAGAAAAATATGTCTTGGGAATAGCATTAGCAACTGTGAGGGAAAAAGAAAGGTCTATAACTACTTTGTGGTGCCATTTGGAGTTTTCTTGGCAGAGCTACTGAAGTAGCTTTGCTATTTCCTTCTCCAGCCCATTTTACAGATGAGACGACAGAGGCAAGCAGGGTGAAAGGACTTACCCAGGGTCACAAGCTAGGAAGTGTCTGAGGCCAGATTTGAACTGAGGAAGATGAGTCTTCCTGACCCCAGGCCTAGTGCTCTGTGCACTCTGGTGCCGCCTAATTTCCCCCATAACTAATTTTTTTGGGGGAAGAAAAAAAATCATTCTGTTCTTTTCTAATCTAATCTTGTTTCAGCCATTCATGTATGTCAATGTCTACATTCTCATAAGGGATGATCTACTTCTAGTCATCCTGTTCAATTTTAACAGCTGATCTTGGGTCTGGAAGATGTCAGCCCTGATCAGAAAGGCTGGGCTGGGAGCTGATGATGCAAGGCACGAGGCTTCAGCGTCTCATCTGAAACTCTCGCCTTTCTCTACTTTATTCTACGTGCATCTTGTTTGCGCAGGGCCTTCCTCATTGGACAGCGAGCTCTTTCAGGGCACGGCTTTTTTTCCCTGTCTTTGTACCTCAAGTGCTTACCACAGCACCTGCCTGATAGATGCTTGATGAATTGAATTTTAACTTGAATTAGAACACCCCACTGCTTGTTTTATTTTTGCCAAAAGCCTGACCCTGCCCTGAAATAATTTTTTAAAAATTAAATGTTATTAAGGGATCTGATTTAGATTCCGACCCACTTATCAATTTCTCCCTATCTGCTGGCTCTTTTTCTTTTAACCATCAATATGCCTAAATCTTTCCTATCCTAAAATGCTTAATGAGACCCTATCGACATTTAAAAAAAAATAAATCTTATTTAACATTTTGTTTTTTCCCAATTACATGTAAAAACAATTTTAACATTTTTTTTCAATTTTGAGTTCCTAGTTGTCTCCCTCCCTCCCTTCTCCCCAACTTGACATAGGTTATACACGTGTAGTCATGCAAAATACATTTCCAAGGAAGTCATTCTGTGAAAGAAAACACAGACAAAAAACCCCCAACAAATCCAGGAAAAATACAAGAAAAAGAAAGTATCTTCAATCTGCATTCAGGCTCTGCTGGTTCCTTCTCTGGAGATGGACAGCACCTTTCATCCGAAGTCCTATAGAACTGTCTCAGACAACTGTATTGCTGAGAATAGCTGAGTTAATCACAGAGATCACTGTACAATGTGGCTGTTACTGTGTACAACGTTCTCCTGGTTCTGCTCATTTCACTGTGCATCAGCTGACGTAAGTTGTTCCATGTTTTTCTGAGCGTGTCCTGCTCACCATTTCTTAAAGCACAACAGTATTCCATTACAATCATATACAATAATTTGTTCAGCCATGCTCCAACCGATGGACATCTTCTCCATTTCCAAATCTTTCCCACCAGAAAAGAGCTGCTATAAATATTTTTGCACACACAGGTCTTTTTTGTTTCTGGTTTTGTCTCCTTGAGATACAGACCTAGTAGTGGCACTGCTTGGTCAAAGGGGATGCGCGGTTTTATTCACGCCCTCTGCCTGCCAGCATCTTTAAGCCGTCCTGCTGTATTTCTCCTGTCCTTAAGTGCTAAACTCCTAGAAAGACATATTCGCTGTACTTTGTCCCATTACTAAGCGGTGAACTGTTTTCCTGAGAATTCTAATTGAGGTCCCAACAATAAGAAGGCCGGAAACTCCTTCATTTCCTGGCAGGTGGAGAGAAGAGACACGGTAGCCAGCAGGACATGACAAGGGGAGTGAGGGAGTTTATGAGTACTCCACAGCAAAGCAGTGGAGGGTGACCCTGAGAGCATCTGCATGAGGCTGGGGCAGGGACCACAAACATACAGAAGAAGGGACAGATTTCTGCTCCGTACTGAGGGCCATGGAACCATCGTGCGTGGCCTCCAATGCCTCTGAACTCGGTGCGCTCCATTAGGAAGGAGGGAGGCACTGCCCCGCTGAAGGCACCCCACCACCACTGCGTAGACAGGGGCACAGGGAGGGAAGAAGGGGAGAAGAGGCACGGAAGCATCACTCGCACTGATGACGAGTGGTCTCTGCTCTCAGAGAGCTTTCATCCTACCAGGGAAGACAGCTGGCTCTAAGCAGACACAAGAAATGCTCTGGGGAGGGAGGACACTAAGAGCTAGGGAGAAAGAGCAAAGGCTTTCTGAAGAACGAAGGAAGAGATGCATTTTGACATGGACACGATGGGGGAGGCCCCAGCAGGTACCAAGCCTACGTCTTCTTTCCCATGTCTTTGAAATAGGCCCGAGAGTGGTCTGTGCGTACATCAAGAGTATCACTAAAGTAAAAGGGAGAAGAGACCAACCTTGGGAACTAAAGAGGAAAAACCATGTGGATTAAGGACCATGCCACGGGGCCACGTGGACACTCTGAGGTTGCTGACCAACCTATATGTGGACGGGTACGTTGTGGACAGAACACGAGCTAAGCTGAGACCCCAGTGAGACGAGAAACAGGGCAGGCTGCCTTGCTCTGGGCAAACTGTATGAAATATGTCAAAAATGAGAGAAAGGAAGGTGGGGGGATCATGTGATGAGACAGAAGGACAGTACGCAGTCTGAGGATGTTCTGGGATCAAAGCAAGGACCATGAGGATGGCCCCTCAGCCAGCTGTGGACAAGGACAGCCCAGAACTAGTCGCTGAGCAAGGACCGTGATGAGATCACAATCTAAGGACGTGAGCGTGCATCAGAACATCTATTTACTGCATCCGAACGGTCATCGTATACAAAAACATACACTATGAAGTGAGCATTTTTATAGCTGAACTGTCTATGTATTTCCCAACACAAAATGATGGCAAGGCCTGGAACTGGCTTTGTGGGAAGCAAGGAAATACTTACCATTATCCAGAAAGCACAGAGAAAATAGAAGCGTCTAGAGAATCCTAAATCCTCTACAATCTTTTACTGATCTTTCTTCGATGGATTTTAAACAATCCAATCACGGCAGAGCACGAGCATGGAATGGAAAATTCCCACATCTAGCCATAGGAGAAACTGACTTAAACAAATTTTGAGTTAATGGCAAGAGACTGGCTGTCCTAGCCATCCTGGGCGCTTATTTGGGCAGGTGACCATTCTCGACAGTAATTACAGAAAATACCACCCAACAACGTTTATCAGAATGAATGGAATAATTGAGAGAGAAAAACTTACTAAATGCAACAAGAAATGAAAAGAACTAATGGGGAGATGTATCTTGCCATTCATTACTTAGAGAAAAGGCAAAACAATGAAAAACCATGGTGTGGCAAAGACAGCTGAAGAAGCAGAGTCTGCTAAAACAGAGTGAAGGCTTTCGGGCTGTGCTTACAAAATGGTGAAAATTCAAAACAAAAACTGGGGAAAACAAACCAAGGCCTTCTTCCAATTATCCTGCCTACTTGATGCCCCAAATCTGGACATCTTGACACAGTAAATTTTTACCCACACGTTAGACAGTGATACAACGATGGTGCTGCAAAGGCAGCCACTGGGGGCTACAGAACTGATCACTGGGAACATTCTGCACTTATGAAGATCGTATTTTAGACAAAAATTATACCGATGCCTTTGCAAATATCTGATGTTCTTGCTTTCAGGTTTTCCTTACTTTTGTCCACTGGTGATGAACGTCCATGGTTCCTAGCATGATATGGCCCAAGGCACTCATACCTGACCGGTCTGTGAATATTACTGTACAACCTGATAACAGAAACAGAAATCCTTTATCACACACAAGTCCGCATGGTGCTTAGCTTAAGCTTGCTACCTCACGTATAGTGAACTGGCATCAAGATGAGTAGGTGACTTAGCCCTTATTTTATGCCAAGGCTCCCACTGTGAGATTCCCCAGTGGAAACAGTCATACCCATGCCAACTTTTAGACACACATGTGCATTTCTCTGTGAGTGTGAAATGTGGCACTTGCAGCAAAATAATTTTAGAAGAACACTCAGAAAAGAAAGCTCTCAGCTCTGTCACGGGAGAAGTGATCTCAAAGACGCACCTTTAACATTCTGAAGGACTTGCAGGTTTTGCTGAGCTAAGCGACCCAGGCTATGCAGCTGGCCACAGCGGTGAGCAATCCCCCAGCTCCTCTGCCACCTGCATAAACAGAGCACAGAGACAACGTCACCAACACATTCAGGGGAATCAGGTGCGTGTGGGAGATGGCGATGGCTTGCCGAAGTCGCAAAGAGCAGTCTTTGGAGGCAGGTGTGTAACAGGCCCTGAGTGCACACGTGTCTCTACACCAGCTCTGTCAAGAGCCTTTGAGAAAGCAACCAAAGAGAAAACTATAGAATTGGGTCTGTTTTCCCGAATCGAGAAGGGAGCTGGGTTGAAGAATCTACAGATTTGTTTTTTTTTTTTCCCCTTAGGCAATTCGGATTAAGTGACTTGCCCAGGGTCACACAGCTAGTACGTGTCAAGTGTCTGGTCTGAAGCCGGATTTGAACTCAGGTCCTTCTGACTTCAGGGCCAGCGCTCTATCCACTGCACCACCGAGCTGCCCCAAGAATCTACAGATTTGAAAAATGGATAAACAAACCAACATTTTAAAGCTCATAATACAGGTTTATAAAGCAAGGCAGAAAAGTAGTAAAAATACGCTTTGCCAAGATTGAGAGGCAGTGAAAGGCAACAGAGTGAGAGACAGCCTCAGCGCTGGGAACACGTGGGTTCTAGTCCAGCCCCTGACCTAGACTGCCTGTATGACCTTGGGTAAGTCACCTGGCCTTGCAGGGGCCCAGGCAGCTCTCTCAGATGAGAAATTGCAAAGCAAGTATTGGCCTACTTTGGTAGTTTTCCCATCTGAAATGTCTAGTCTTTCTTCTCTGTCAAGACTAAAAATGATTACTTTCTACTTTCTTAATAAAATCCTTTCATTTTCCTAATAATCCCTAGAAAACTTATCACACCACATTCTAAAAATCTTACCTTACAGAAATGAGTTTTTGATGTGGAAAGTCATTTTCATGTATATTACACGCTCTGTTAGTCTGAATAAATCTGGACTGAATAAAACCTGCTTGTGGTCTACAACTATGATTTTTTTTATTGTGTATTTCTTTCAGAGAAATGATTTTAAAGGTATATGGTCTCATAGTCCATGATTTTCCATACTGACACCAATATGGAATGACTGGATACAGCACCAGCCCTGGACTCAGGAGGACCTGAGTTCAAATCTGGCCTCAGACACATAACATTTACTAGCTGTGTGACTCTGGGCAAGTCACTTAATCCCACTGCCTAGCAAAAACACCAAACAATTTGAAAAAACAAACCAAAACATCTGAAATGGTTTCCAAGGTTTAGAGGCAAACTTAAACCTGATGTCTGTGTCCTTCTGACACGGATGAACTGCATTTATGACGTTCTTAGTCCTTTCTTTTTTTAAATTTTATTTTATTTATTTATTTTTTTAAGGCAATTGGGGTTAAGTGACTTGCCTAGGGTCACACAGCCAGTAAGTGTCTCAAGTGTTTGGTCTGAGGCCGCATTTGAACTCAGGTCCGGTGCTCTATCCACTGCACCACCTAGCTGCCCCTCTTAGTCCTTTCTTTTTAACCACAATGGAAGACTGTGATTTGTTACTTCCCACCCTCTTATTCAATGAGGAAAATCATTCAGAAAACCCTCTGAGCAGCATCAGCTTTCCGTTTTAATGCTGGTAGTTTAATAAAGTAAAGACGCAGCTCTGAGTCAGGAAGCCCTGGGTCCAAGCTCTGCCTCGGTCACACAACGGTGTGTTCCAGACAGCTCTCTCCCACTGTAAATTATTGAGGGATGTGTCATCGCTCTCCCCACAGAAGCCCGAGGTGTGGCCCGGGCCAGCTTAATGTCCTATTTACAAATAAGAAAGTTGTTAAGTACCATTCTCCTCAAGCTAATCCTGCTTTTGGGTCGGCTGGATTTGAACTCGGGTTTTCCTGACTCCAGGCCCAGCTCTGTAGCCTCTACACCCTCTGGGTGGCTGGCTCACTGGCACACTGCCCTCAGAGGGCTGGGATATGAGTATCAGACACACAAATAACTAAAGACCATGGTGCCCCCCTAATTAGGAGGCTGACGTAGTCTCCCTATCTTTCTCTAGGGGAAGCACAGCCTGATTTCAATGGCGGTAGGCGTGGGAGTTCTAACCGGCTCCATCTGTTGTCTTTAGCATGGAGAACTAAAGGCCCCGGAGAAAACTTCTTCTACCCACACCGGCCTTAGAGAGAGTTGCCTGGAGGGCCTACCCAGTCACACAGCCATGCCCACATCAGAGGGTGAACTTGAATCCAAGACTTCCTGCTTCTGAGAGGAGGCAGGATCTCTTCTAGTCTATTCCCTTCAGAGTTGTCCAGTATGCTATGGTGGGGACTCTTTACGTAAGGACTGGATTAGAAAGCCACTGAGATCCCTTCCAACACTCAAATTCTGTGATTCTATGACTTTGTAAGTCCCTAGAGAAGTGGAACAGTAGCAGAGAGGGAAAGAGAGCTATCTTGGCTGTCTACAGCCTCTGTATCAGATGACCTAATGCTTGCCCTACATTTTAATGCATTGTTAGCTTGAGTGCTTGCACGGGAGCTGAGGACCTTGTTCCTTTGGTTGTAGAGTCAAGTAATGATGCTTCTGCGCAAATTATGTATGTAGGCACGAGCTAAAGAGCCACGTTATAGGAGTAGCCTCCAAGATAGAATCCACTGTGTAAGCCTAGAACTTTGGTATTAGAGGACAGGTCACAAGCTTTTTTATAGAAGACAACATGGAAAAGTTGAAAGAGATTTGGGTTCAAATCCTACTGGGGACCAAACTGTATGACTTTAGACAAACCTTGTTGCCTCTTTAAGCCCCCTTTCCCAATACATAAAACGAAGATAAACCTGCCCATGGTCCTTGCTGCACAGCACCGCAGAGTGTGCTGAATGTAGAGGCTGTGTTGCCAAACGGTTAGAGTCTAGACTTGGAGTCAGGGAAGCTGAATTTGAATCCCGCCTGTGCCCGGGTGGTCCTGGGACCTCTAGTGAGACTGTCCTTAAGGACCCCTCTTCCAGTTCTGACACCATGATCCCACAGGGTGCTCTGAAGAGCACTATGGAAACACTTACGTGCTGTCTATATACATGTGCAGCTCTTACCGATGAAATAAAATGGAAGGATATTGAAGACCAACAGAATAAAGCTGAAGATGCACCTCTTAGCTGAAGGGAAGGAAGCTGGGCCAGGAGGCAGCACACGCTCAGTTTGACCTCTGCATCATTACCTGATATCTGAGAGCAGGAGCTGACGAGACAGTTGGTTTTTCAAACGGTCTAGTTCCTCTCTCAGTGGCAAACTACTGTTCAGCTTTTTAATGGCACTTTTTTCATTACTATCTAACCAGGACCTAGAAAGAGAAAGAGACATGTAACCATTAGAACTGTCCATTTATTCCCATAGAACAGAAAGCTAAAACTCTTATTTTTTAAAAATAATATTTCATTTTTAAAGGTCTCATTTCTAAAATACATTAGAGAACTGAGTCAAATTTATAAGATTACAAGTCATTCTCCAATTGAGAAATGGTCAAAGGATATGAACAGGCAGTTTTCAGATGAAGAAATTTAAGCCCTCTGTAAGTCATATGAAAAAATGCTCTAAATCACTACTGATTAGAGAAATGCAAATTAAAGTGACATCAACACCTACCAGATCGGCTAATATGACAAAACAGGAAAATGACCCACGTGTACAAAAATATTTATAGCAGCTCTTTTTGTGGTGGCAAAGAATTGGAAATTGAGGGGATGCCCATCAATTGGGGAATGGCTGAACAAGTTATGGCATGTGAATGTAATGGAATACTATTGTTACATATGAAATGATGAGCAGGCAGACTTCAGAAAAACCTGAAAAGAAGACTTTTTATTTTCTGGGCTAGGCAATGGGGTTAAGTAACTTGCCCAGGGTCACATAGCTAGCAGTGTTATGTGTCTGAGGCCGGATTTGAACTCAGGTCCTTCTGACTTCAGAGCCGGTACTCTATCCACTGTGCCACCTAGGTGACCCTCTGAAAAGACTCATATGGACTGATGCTGAGTGAAGTGAGCAGAACCAGGAGAACACTGTGCAATGACCGACTTTGTTAGACTTAGCTCTTCTCAGCAATGCAATGATCTAAGACAATTCCAAAAAGGCCCATGACGGAAAATGCTATCCACATTCAGAGAAAGAACTATGGAGTCCGAATACAGGTTGAAGCATAGTATTTTCTTATTTTTTTTTCTTGTTTTGTTCTGATTCTTCTTTCACAACATGATTAATGTGGAAATATATTTAACATGATTGTACATGTACAGCCCATATCAGATTGCATGTCATCTTGGGGAGGGGGAAAATTTAGAACTCAAAAGTAAATAAATTTTAAAAAATGTTTCATTTTTTTCTCCTACATGTTAAAACAATTTTGAACATTTTAAAAAAAAGTTTAGAGTTCCAAATTCTATCCTTCCCCCCTTCTCCCCTAGACAGTAAGCTTTCTGATACAGGTTATACATGTGCAATCATGTAAATTAGTCGCTTTATACAAGGAGACTAGAACAACAACCGAATGAAAGGAAAGTGAGAAACAGCACGCTTCAGTCTGTATTCAGACAACATCAGTTCTTTCTCTGGAGGCAGACAGCACGTTTCATCATGAGTCCTTTGGGACTGTCCTGGATCACCGTACTGCTGAGAAGAGCCAAGTCATTCACAGTTCTTCATCACACAACACTGCTGTTACTGTGCACAACGTTCTCCCAGTTCTGTTCACTTCATCTTGCATCTGCTCATGTAAATCTTTCCAGGTTTTTCTGAAAGCATCGTGCTCGTCATTTCTTATAGCACAATAATGTTTCATCACAATCATATACCACAACATGTTTAGCCATTCCCCAATTGATGGAACATCCCCTCAACTTCCAATTCTTAGCTACCACAAAAAGAGCTGATATATATATTTTTATAAATAGGTCATTTTCCCCTTTTTTAATCTCTTTGGGATACAGACCTAGGAGCGGTATTGCTGAATTAAAGGGTATGCACAGTTTTATAGCTTTTTGGGCATAGTTCCAAATTGTTCTCCAGAATGGCTGGATCAGTTCACAACTCCACCAACAGTGCATTAGTGTTCCAATTTTCCCACATCCCACCAACGTTTATCATTTTCTGTCACATCAGTCAATCTGATAGGTGGGAGGTGGCACCTCAGAGTTGTAAAACTATTGCTCATTTATTTATTTATTTATTTATTTATTGGCTAGGCAATTGGGGTTAAGTGTCTTGCCCACAGTCACACAGCTAGTAAGTGTTGTGTGTTATGTGTCTGAGACCAGATTTGAACTCAGGTCCTCCTGACTCTAAGGCCAGAGCTCTATCCACTGCGCCATCTAGCTTGAAACTACTGTTAAAAGACATGTGACTAGAGAGTTGGAAGCAGGCTCAATCACATCAAACCTCAGTGCATACATTCAGATTTCTATTAAGCCCACCAGGCTTTTATCCCACTATACTACTGAGTTTTCTGGACATTCCAAATGTCTCGCATAGTCTTTTCTCCTGTCCAAGAAGTGGTCTGCCCCTCAAATACTCGATGGATTTGCTTTCTCCTCCCTGACGTGGGTCCTACCCATCGATGCAGACTATTGCAGCTCAGTCACTCAGGGGAAAAGAATCACTTCTATTTAAAAAAAAAGACAAACTGCTGGCACTGCTTAAGAAACTTGGAAAGAAAAAACCTTCGCTAAGAAAATAGTCTTAAAAAATGTCACTGTTATAATCCCCACGTGCCAAGTGACTTTTAGAGAGAACTCTCACTCGGGTCTTGCAGCTGCTGGATTTCTCCTGGTCTTGCCCCCCCACCTCATCCCGCATGGATAGGTGGTGGTGCATTGTTTCCCTTTTCAATTCCAACTTTTTTGTGCTGGGCACAAAACACACAAAACCAACACTTCAAAAGCACATAAGGCTGGATGATGCAGACAGAAACAGAGGAATGCCTTTCTTAATTCATCACAAATGCGCAGCAAAAGGTGCAGCCTCCCCACCCCGTTGGTCTGTGGCCCTCATTAACTCCACTATCCCTCTCCAAAGCCCTATCACACTGCTGTGCCTTGCCCTCAGGATGCCAGGCAGCCCTTCAGGCCATCATAGTCCGTGATTCCTATATCACAACAGCTCTAGGATTCCTAATTCATACCCCAAAATTGCTGGCAGAAGGCCTTGGACAAAAGGAAAAAAGCTTAAGAAGTCATCACTTAAACATTTATTTTTAGCCATGCTGATTGCAACCATCAAACTTCAAATTTCACAACTTAACCAATAACTTAGGGATAGGCTGAACATCTTTTAATTCAATGTGATCAATTTTCCAATCAAAAACTTGAAACAAAATTGGGAACCAGCCAGGAGTCATTCCCGCCCAGCTGTCAGAAGTTGATGCCAAGGATCTCAAAAATGACTAAGCTACCATTCAGCTTCACACAAATGATACCACGCATCCAGGAGGTAAAACCACAAATGGCTCCATATAAATTGTGAAACAATCTTCCTGGCTGGGGAAAGATGAGGGGGAGAAGGCAGATGAACTTAGAGAAAAGGTTGAGTTTATTCCATAAGCAATAATCAGCTGCTCATAATTAAGAAAACAAAAATCAAACAACTCATTTTTTAAAATGGGCAAATGTTCTTAGAATTTGGCGTATAAAATGTTTGAACTCTTACCTAAATTTTTGCAAGCACAGGCATTCACAAAATTCTTGTCCTCATTTTCAATGGAGATGAACCTTAACTCCCTGCCCTGGATACGAGGGGCACGGCATCTCATTTTTAAGTCAGGCTATCTGCTTCCATGGGGAAAACATCCCTATGTATACAGTTAACCCTTTGCATATGCAGATGTATATTTTTATCCCTTTTTATCAAAGGGCGTTTTTTCTCTGTTGCATTTTCACAACTCTAAGCCCAAATGGTGACTTCCTCTTTATTGCTCCCACTGATCAGGTGGTTAAGATTCCAGGGTTTTAGTGGACAGGGTAAAAGACATGACCAAAAGGAGTATGTGTGGGGGGAGGGAGCCAGAAGAAATGCCTTTTATAGATAACTTTTTGAAAAGGAAAAACGCAATTTAATGATTCCACAGTGATTGTAAGCTTATCTATTGTGCGTTAGGGCTGCAAGGTGGCACCAGAGCGCGCAGAGCGCTGGGCCTGGAGTCAGGAAGACTCATCTTCCTGAGTTCAAATCTGGCCTCAGATACTGACTGGTTGTGTGACCTTGGGTAAGTCACTTCACTGTTTGCCTCAGTTCCCTCATCTGTATAGTGACCTGGAGAAGGAAATGACAAACCACTTCAGTGTGTTCACCAAGAAAGTCCCAGATGGGGTCACGAAGAGTTGGCCAGGCCTAAAAATGACCCCACAGTTCCAAGGTGGAGGGAGCGGGACTGCTCTTGGGCCCTGGGTTGGCTGCATCGGTGGTCTGGTTCTCCTGGCACATGCCGCCTCCCAGCTTTCCCTCAAGGTGTCTTGCTGTGTGAGCTGAGCTGGCTTGCTGAGCTGAGCTCTGTGCCTGATCCTGCCAAGGCTTGGTGATGCCTATGAAATCAGGTGCATTAGAATCTCTGGTTCACCTTCTCGTTCTCCTGACCTGGCACATTCAAACAGACCCGAGGACAGCTCTCTTCTCAGGGACGGTCTCCTGGGAGCTGGTCATCTCTTCCTGTTCTTCTCCCTTCACTGTAGATGATGGTGGGCAGACAGTGGGGGCAGTTTTCTTAAAGCCTTTTTGATCAAAATGGTGAAATTCAGCAGACATATTTTCACTGGTTCTCATGAGTAGACTCTGTATTGTAATCTGTGGCCCCCCAATGAACCCCTATATTATGGAGAGACTGCAGGGCCAAACTTTGAATTAGGAAGCGCTCGCTTAGCCCTGCCTTCTACACACGCCAGGGAGGCTCTGAAGCTCTCAGGGCCCAGCCCAGGCCTCTCTAAGACCACTCTGGATTAGCTATTGGTTTGCACTGGGGTACTGAGTTCCCTGCCAGGAGTTATTCACATTGATGAATTTCAGGTCTGTGCCGTTCCTCCCCAGGATCGTACGAGGGAGCCTCATAAGAATTTTAGCTCGAATCAGACTGAGGGATCTTTGTTCGTACCAGAGGCTCTATCTCCCGGCCTTATCTGTTACAGCCTGGTGAGCATTGGCTCCACGAGGCTCCCTCAGAGCAGCACTTGGGACCCCTCTTCTTCATCTCCTCAATAATGCTCTGACATGCCCCTGTCTAACCTCTGCCCACCAGCCCATGGGAGTGCACCAGGAGGGCCCCCGGATGTCCCCTCCTCCCTTTTCTCCTCAGGCCTGAGC